AACACAAATAGTTTTGTTAAAACATTACAGACTACACCATGGTAATTGTGGGCAACCATTTCCATGCCTCTGTCAAGATTGTTTGTGTTTTTTCAGAACATGGGGCAGCCTTAGATCACATTTATCAAGACATCAAACTTAGAAAACCTCCAGATTTGCAGAAAGTTTTTATTTTACTTGTCCTTGTTGCAATGCCATGACAATTTCCATAGAAAAAAAAAAAAAAACACGAAACTGTCATCTGTGTTTTTCAGAACTGCAATTTCAGAACTAACATTTATGGTACATTTGCTTCGCACAGAAGCCGAAAACATACTCCTCACTCATTGCATGACTTCAAGGCAGACATAATAAAAAGGTATGTATGTTCATTCAATGCAGATCAACACAGTGATGTGGAAGGTCAAAGTGGGGATCTGTCTGATGAAGGTCAAGATGACAATAATGATGCGACAGACCTGCCAAACTGCATAGAAAAAAAATAGCTTTGTTGTTTCTAAAACTGGAGAGCACTTTTAATGTATCTTACAGGTGTATAGAAGAGGTTGTTAAAGAGTTAAATTTTGTATCTCGATCAGCATCTGGACCCATCATCAAAGGTATTTTACAGTCCTGCTTGGGTTGTAAAGCCCATCTTACAGTCCACAAATCTGTCTAATGTAAACCTTTTGCATGAAGTAACAAAAATAAACAATTTTCAAGTTGTTGCAGATAAAATGGGCAAGAAATAAGGGATATCTTGGAGCGCTGGCCTGCATTATCAGATGCAACACAGGTAAGTTTAGTTTTATTTTTAGTCTAGTTTCACAATTTTGCGAGAAAATCATCTTGAAGTTATTTATGCTAAAAACTTCTTACAACAATAACATATTTCATGTTATTTGTTGTGTTACACATTGTATGCAATTATTCCATTATTTAATTATTCTATTTTTTCTACAGATAAATGAAGAATTCAAGAGGATAACCACTGTAGGTCTTGAATCTACATTTATGGCCAAACTTGACAAATGCACCCCAAAACTAATGGACCTGGCCTCATCAAGGGGAGGAGCTAAAGGGGAAAGAATCAGAAGGATTAAGGATATGCTTCTTGAGGTATTGTAAATAATTTGTACACACTAGAATAGTTTAGATTTGTGTTAAATTGTCAGGTTGCCATCAGTTGTTTGTTCAGATAAAACTTTATTCATTTACTGTAGGTACTTTATCTTGATATATATTTTTTCTAATTAAACAGAACAATGAAGTTGAAGTATGGAGAGAAGTAGCCATTCACTGTCTTGTTGTCTGTCTTGGAGAGAAAGAAGAGGATCTTTTCAAGGAGTTTGCTGTGAGTATTACAATGTTTTAAAATTAAAATTAAATATTCCCTTGACAGTGGAAACATACAAGAAAAAATATGTGCTCAATGACTGCTCTCTTTTAGTTAAATGTGTAGGTATATTACATTGTCCACACACACTGGGTTTACCTAGCTCTGTGTTAAAATAACAATGTACTATTTAGTTCAATAAACAGATGTTGACAATGAGAAAGATTTGTAAAATGGGTGTGACAGTTGCGTTTCACTTTTCCATTTAAATTACATTGTGAAACGAATTATTCTTATGAGTGAGTAGCTGGGTGCATGCATGTAAGGGGTAAAATAAAACAAAGTCTCCAGAGATTAACTGAAATCATATGTAAGTAAAATAAAAAACTGAAGTAATTATAAATTTAAATATCTCTATCATGCTAATCTAATTTTTTTTCTTGCTTTACAAGAATACACAAGAAATTGAGGCAGACCTTGAAAAGCAAGTGATGAAAATTGCCATCATTGGTGATCTGTCAACTATGGAATTAAACCACAAGACGGGAACCATCATTGTTGAGGGAATCAGAATCCTGATTGGAATGGATATCTCAAGGTGTTGTGCTCTGCTAACGGGCATAATATATGCTCTGAATCTGAGCTACCCCAAGGAGCTTAAATATACTTGTTAAGTGTTTCAGAAGCTGTTTCTTGAACTTGATGGACTGAATCCCAGTGCAAAAGTAATGCGTCTCAAGAACAGCATTTTCTGAAGCCTCTACTTATTTCAAAGTACATTTTGCTCTTTATGTTGCAACTATATTGTTTTGTATTTTGAAGTCCACATGCTGATCTTTTTATTTCATACTGTTTATATGAATGGTGGCATTTATATATGTTTGTTTATAATAATACAAATGTTACATATTTTACAATTAAGGTTAACTAATAACAAGTAGTTTGTAAAATATTCAATTTATAAGTTAATAGTTAGCTTTCAGTGTATCAATGCCTATAACTCTTGTTTTGATGGAATTCATTGTGATGGCATAGCTATGCATGCATGCACATTTTTGAAGGCAAAGCTGACGGGTCAGTTTGTTTATAATTTGTGAGACAGTACACATTTGGGTTTTGTAAACATTGAGAAGTGCAATATTTAAAATAAAACACTGAAAACTGTGTTTCTAAATAAATAAAAAGCTACTGAAATTAAAATTGCTGTTGTTTAAAAATGTATTTCTTACAAGCACCTAAATTAACAATAATATGAAAACAAACAAAAAATTTAATTTCAGCTTCTTAATTTTTTTGAGATTCTAAACTTGAAAACTAGCATGTATAATTATGGTAATTAAGTACATAACACTGGTTTTTGTTTAAATGTTAATAAAAAAAGCTAGTTGGAACAACTTAATTTTTTAAGTACTCAACTTAAAAAAATTGAGGTTATGCTATGTAAAAATACCTCTGATTAAAGAGGTAAAGGTAATTTGGTAAAATTGTAAATACACGCAACCCCAATAAAATATAGACATGTACAAATGTATGCAGGCGTCTATTAATGCAGTTTAGGCCATGTTGTGCATTTGTGTTGTCCAGCCGTGACTAATTTTGGCTGTTGAGAGGACGTAGTCTTTTAGACCAACTGCACACAATTTGTGCGGGGGAGAGGATGTTGCAGTCGGATCAATGTTTGCTGGGATAGTGCTGCAGTTTTGATTATTGTGCTGTCATCATTCCAAGTCAGCAGATTCACACAGTTAAAAGTCAAAAGCCTGAGACTGACTGATCAATGACTGTTGTTTTTTTAAGAACATTCTGCACAAACATTAGTCTTTATCACTGGAAGATTTTTTATTTCATGTATAAACATTTAAACCTAAGAACATATTAAATATTACGGTTACTCGAATCCTTTTAAGAATCTAAATCTTCTTTCATTTTACAAAATAGTTACAACCTGATTTGAAAAGTATATTAATAGTTAGTGCGGTCAAATCATTAATTGCAATTAGTCATAACCAAAAAAAAAAAAAAGTTTGTGCATACTGTGCGTATTTTTTGTGTATATAAGAATATGCATGACTATATAACAAAAAAAAAATTGGTTGTGTTTTTTTTGTGCATGGAAAAATGTGTGACGGTGCATGGTCTATAAGGATTGTGCTTATTCTCTTAATGAGTTATGAGTGTGTTTTGAGCATAACCTGCATTAAACCAATCAGTATCTCATCTCCCATTCCCTTTAAAAGTCAGTTGTGTCACACCAAGGTGGACTTTGTAAGTGGAAAAACTAAAAAACAGTTAAACAGATTATCTGTGCAAGGATAAAAAAAAGTCTAGTCTAAAGAACGAGCTATTCGACCTCTTTATTTATAAAAGAAACTTTGTTGGGTGGACTCTGCTGAAGACATATTTAATTTCTTAATTTTGTTTGTTAAGGGCAAAGATTTGTATTAAATCTATTTTTAAATTCAGTTCTAATTTCCAACAACGAATAAATGAACACTAATAACAAGGTGTGGTCATATTCAAATGTACTTTCTATTGATATGCCTCATTCGATGATGCAGATTGTCAGGACATTTCTCTTTTTCTGTCTCTTCTAGTCATTCTTGCTAATTCTTCTTACTGATCAGCGCGCACATGCCTCGCCGCACCTGTTACCTGTCTCTTCTAATTTCCTTGCTATTTAAGCTCTCCTTTTTCCACTTTGTAGTTGCTAGTGTGTCCTGTTGGTTTTCAGGATATCTTGCTATTCACTGCATTATTTTGTCTTGATTCCTGTTGTTGTCATTCATTGCTTCATGTTTCTGATTCTGTTTTTCTTTCTGCCCAGTTTTTGTTTGATTGTCTGTGATTTTTTGTTTGTTTGTTTGTTTTCTCTTGGATTCATCCCAGCCAGCCACCTACCTTAGACTTTGCCTGTCTGACCCTGAACTGGTCTGTCCTCTATTGTTCCATTTGCCTCCCGATCAATGCCCGCCTGCATGACTTCTCTAATGACTGCCATTTTGGACACTGGTTGCTTTCGCTCTCGCCAAGCGATCACATCATCATCACTTTTGAGACACAAGCCTCGGCTCATTGTTTTTTTAATCATAAATAAAAACCTTTGTTTTGACAGAGTTTGGATCCTTCTCTCTGGGTGTGACATTATACACTAGCCATTATAGATCCAGCAGATGTCACAATACGCTCAGCAGTGGAGCTTCAAGGAGCTATGTTGATCTGCCATGAAGAGGAGTTATGGTGGGCACGTGACTAGGGTGTGGCAGTATGGGAATCCCAAGCCTTGTGCTGCTCAGATTTTTCAGTTTTCAAGGAACAGATGATTAAGGTTTTTGACCGTTCTTTTGATTGGCTGCTGGCATCCCTTAAACATACGGCATCTGATGCAGGGTGTGAGATTCTTCACAAAGTTGGACCTACAAAATGCTTACCATCTCATCCATATGAGGGAGGATGATAAATGGAATATCGCAATCAATGTACCTACTGGACACTTTGAACATCTTGCTCTGCCATTTGGGCTCACCAGTGCTCCAGCAGTCTTTCAAGCACTCATCATTGATGTGCTCAGAGACATTTTACATCCTTGTGCATATTTTTCACATTGTTTTTCTCCCGCAGAAAGAAACTATGATGTCGGCAATTGGGAGCTATTGCCAGTCTAGTTGGCTTTGGGGGAGTGACACTTCTAGCTGGATGGGCGGGCAGTACCCTTTATTGTTTGGATTGATCATAGGAATCTGCCATACATACAGTACAATCTGTTTTGGTTTTCCAGTAGGTCCTTCCATTCCCAATACCACCATACTTTCCAGATGTGTGGTGGGGGCGGTCTACTGAGAAATTGAGGAGTGTGTCAAACGAGCCCAGTCTGGGGTCAAGGTGTCCATGGGTGCCTGTCGGGTCTGCTCTTTGTTCCTGAGGCAGTTTGCACTGCCGTTCTCGGGTGGGGCCCACTATTCTGAAGTCACCTGACACCTGGGGATCAGGAGGTCACTGGCTGCCATCCGTCCACGGTTTTGGTGGCCTGCCATAGCTAAGGATGTTCATCGGTTTGTGAGGGCATGCTCAGTCTGTGCTCAAAACATGTCCTCCAATTCTCCATCTATTGGTCTATTTACAACCTCTCCCCATTCCTTCCCGCCCCTGGTCACACATTGCCATGGACTTTGTGGTAGGCCTCCATCCATCTAATGGCAATATAGTGGTTCTCAAAGTGGTGGACCACTTTTCCAAGGCAGTCCACTTCATTCCCCTTCCAAAACTTCCTTCTGCTAAAGAGACAGCTTGGGAGGTCGGACCATGTCTTTCGGATTCATGGTCTTCCGGAGGATGTGGTCTTTGACAGGTGGCCCAAGTTTGTTTCCTATTTCTGGAGGAAGTTCTGCCGGCAGATTGGGTCCCCTGCCAGTCTGTAATTAGGCTTTCATCCACAGACCAATGGGCAGATCGAGCATGCTAATCATGATCTCGGCTGAACGCTCTGTTGTCAAACCCTCATCTTGGAGTAAACAGCTCACATGAGCAGAATATGGTGTGCCTGGGGGAAGGGAGGGGTTGTCAGGACACTGGGTTGATCTCTCTTTCTCTCTCTCTCTCTCTCCTTGTCATCCTTGCATTCACTCAGCTGATCGCTATTACTGATCAGCACGCACATGCCTTGCCACACCTGTTACCTGTCTACTCTAATTTCCTTGCTATTCAAATTTTCCTTTTTCCACTTTCTAGTTGCTAATGTGTTCTGTTGTTTTTCAGGCTATCTTCGCTGCGTTATCTTGTTTTGATTCCTGTTGTTGTCATTCATTGCTTCATGATTTTGATTCTGTTTTTCTCCCTGCCCAGTTTTGGCTCAGTTGCCTGTGATTTTTCTTTGTTTTCTCTTGGATTCATCTCGGCCAGCCACCTACCTTCAACTTCACCTGTCTGACATTAAGCTGGTCTGTCCTCCGTTGTCTCATCTGCCTCCGGATCGATGCCTGCCACCTGATGACCTGCCGATTTGGACATTTGCGTTTGGATCCTTCTCTTTGGGTGTGACACCGACGTCTCCAAAACTGGTAGTGGTTTTTATAAATATGTAAAAAAATATATATTTTTAACTATTATAATCCTTTAATTTAATTCATATGTAATGAAATTTGCTGTACATCCTATGTGCATTAAGCAATGTGTTTGCAGGTTTTGGACCTGCATAGGTGCATAACTAACATGCTCTATAAATAATAAAAACTTTGCACAACTGACTTTAGACCAGCATTAAGTAGATTAATAGCGTGGTCTATTTCAGTTGCCTCAAAATAGCAAGCCGCCAACGTTTTAGACCAGCATGCCCTTGAGTGCACAAAGTGGCACAAATCAAATAATAGCTGCGCTAGGTCTGAAAATAGCAAAAAAATAATAATAATAATCTGTGCCACTTTTAGAGGAATTGCTTTTTTTAAGGAGAATCATAACAAGAACTGCTCTGTGTGATCGGTACTCATTAGATATGGCTTGCTTTTAAGTGAAAATCTAAAGAGGGACTGCTTTTAACCATATCTTTTGTAATATTGTTGGCTAGTTTACATCAATTGTTTGCCATTTGACTTTAATTACATAGTTAAACAAGTGACAAATAGCATGGAACATGCATAATGGCAAAGGCGGCATATTGCCTATACACAGGATGGAAGGATCTGGGCTGGATCTTTGCGCCCTTTTTATATTTAGCATTGAACATACTTGAACTGTATCCAAAAGCGTTGCCGACCGACTCCCTCCCTGCCTGATAAGGTGATATATTTTGAGGCCGTGTCTATGTGTCAACTCACAAAACTTTCAACTGACTGAGTGAACATAACAGTTTAGTGATAGACAATAAATTAGACAGAGCGCTTTAATGATGATTAAATGAATATTTAAATACTACAATATTAATTTCTCAATCAAAACAGCACCAAACATGGAGGGGAAATGGTTAAAAATGTTCTTTTACACAAAAAAAGACCACCAAGTAATAAAATAAAATAATGCTAATAGCTTTTGATGCCAACTATTGGTCAAAGATTGTGTACTAATAAATCATTCATAATGACTTCATTAAATTTCATCTATATTGATTAAAATCATCTTATAATGTTTGCAGATACTTATTGGTACATGCTCTGCAATACTGCTTCTCATTCTAAGGGGGTCATGAACTGAGAATCAAACTTTTCTCGATTTGTTTTGATATATATTATTAAACACATTCTGTAAGTTTCCCTTAGAACCACTACTTGCATTTTTTATTATTATCGCTACTTGATTTTACATTGTATTGTTTAATCAAATGCTACAATTCAGTTCCAGATTTTCACAAAGATTGAAAGTAAAAGATGATGCTGTGTGAACAATATTGGATCTGATAATAACATTTCACCACACAAGTGTAAGTAACAAGGTGTTTTTAACTCTTTCACATGTCATTTTAAATACTCCAGGGGCCTCATGTACAAAAACGTGCATTGAATTCATACTAAAACATTGCGTAGGGACAAAGCTGTAAATGTGCTCACTGTAAATAAATCTGATGTAATAAAAAGCGCTGCGTACGTGGAATCCCACTCATATTCTCTTTGTACATCCAAATTACCATGAAATTGAGCTCAGCAAGCACGAGCGCAAAACCCCTCCTGGCTCCTCCCCCGTATAAATATGGTAATAACTTCACTTTGGCAAAACCAAGCGAAAAAGCAAAGCAAGAAGAAAAAACTTGAATTGGAGGTGCTCCTATCAGAGGTAGACCGGAGAAAAATGTTATTTGCATGTTTGTCCTCCGGAATTAATAAAAAAAAATGAAAAATAGAGTGGGACAGTTTAGCTGACATGGTTAATGCAGTGGGGTCTGAACATCGCACTGTAAACTAATTAAAAAGAAATGGTCCGATGTTAAGGTGCAGGTTAAGAGGAGAACACCTGTACACCGTCAAAGTGTGGACCAAAGAGGCGGAGAAACAGGGGATGCTGAACTAACACCCTTTGAGGAGAGAGTTGCCTCAATTGTGGGTGACACTTTACTGTCAGGAGTAGTATCCGTGTCTGTTGGAGACACAGATGTATTAGAGGAACACTTTGTTAGGGAGGTATAGCAGCACCCCTCCTATCTTATCAAGGCAGCGCCACCAGCATTTTAGCTGCCCAATCGGCCGCTCTACAACTGATTGAGTGCAAAAAAGGGCATCATTGTATCTGCACTCTTGGTCAGCTTGTGGGTTGTTAAGGGGGGTCAACAGCCACAACTTTAATGGATAACCAGTCTCCTGATATGCAGTTAAATAATTACGTTCAATAAAAAAATAAAAATAAATCCTGGAATAATATCTTTAAATACATTACTTACCAAGAAGCCATCCCATCGTGTACCCTGCCACATTGGAGCCTCCTCACTGCCTCACTTTCCAAATTTTGACCCAACTCGGCACAGAGCTCCAAAAGGATAGCTCTTGGAAATCTGAAACGCCTAATAATCCAGTCATCATCGTGGGCCAGAAAATTACTGTGATCCCTAAAGATGTGTTTCCTTTCGGATTCAACCATTGTCAATGTCCTCTAATAAGGCCAACACTGCCATTGCCATAGACTAAGGGTTGTATACATTTGCAAATGCTTTTATATGTTCTAAATCACATAGTTGGTAAAAAAAAAAAAATGTGTCAATTAACCCATTTTATCAATTTTAAATTAATAGCAATGTTTTTTTACATGTGCTATTTTACATAATTACCTCTAGGAGTCGCCAATGGAAATAAAACAAACAAGAAATGCACGGACGCCAGACATGAAATTGGCGCGGACCAACGCACATTCTCACATTAATTTCATTGTTAGTAAATCCCAACGTAAGCGTGAAACGTGGCATATGCAAAGTTTTTGTGCATACGCAGCGTTAATACACGAGGCCTCAGGTGACTAACCTACATGAGTCATGAATCACTAGCAGCCCTGACGATTTACAAAGATATCCCCTTTTGATTCTTTTTTTCTCTTGTCTACATTTATTGACAACATCCTAATTTTATTAGGAAATATCTGATATTCTGATTCTCAAATATGTGTGTACGAACATGTACTTCATCATATAGACAGCTTAATAATGATTGTATTATTTGATATATTACAGGTGATAGGTGGTGCCATGTTAGTGGTGATATCAGAACAGCTGGATTTACAACATGCTAATTTATCAATGTCTCCTGAGTTGCATAAAAGTAAGTGGCTGTTTAACTGGGGGATGTAATGATTGTACATGTATATACTTTTGTTACCTATACAAGGTAATCATAACATTAGCCACGTTTCCACTGTCACGGCAAAAGCAAGAGAGCCAGGGCCAGTCGTGTTTCCACAGTCACTTCCCGGGGCCTGATTGGGCTAAAGCAGGGTTTCCAACGGCCAGCCTTTTTTGGCCGTTTGGCCCTTTTTTCTCAATATTAAGTAGCCTACACACAGTTCAGTCTTGCATCCTCTCCTTGTAAGTTCAGACTTCGCAAGTTTGATATAGAAAACAAACTCCCGAGAACACGTCAGGTAAATCTTCAAAGGGAACAGTGTACTTTATAACCTCATTCACATCACCCTGGCTATGCTGTTTCACTAGTCTTATAAATAAAATGAAAACATAATATAAGGAACTCCCTATTTTCATTTCCATATTTTGATATTACCTTACCAGACATTAAAATATTGAGGCATCTTATAGGCTTATTTATATACAGCTGCATATTTATATGATCGTCATCTTCACTGTATGCATATTTATAACAAAACACAGCAGATAACATAACTGCCTCCTTTCATTTTCATTGACAATAGCCCATTTCACACAGTGATACCGGTAAATATATGGAAAATTTCTGGAACGACTTTACCGGTAAATTCAAAAAAAGTGCTGTTCACACAGGCGAGGACGTTACGGATTTTTTTCCGGAAAAGAGCGTCCACACATCCATCGCAAAATACAGTTAAATTCTGACATCATTAACCAGAAATGACCTCCAAACGGCTACGCTTGTATTTGTAAACATTTGACTACATCACAAACTCCGTGGATGGATCAGTATTGAGAACAACTTCGATGAAAACATATAGAGAAACACTTTCGGATGTCGAGATGTACATGATATGTGTGTGTGCTCATGGGCTGTTTCATGGGCACACGAAAAGCTTGAAGGTAAACAAACAACGGCTTAGCATAAGCATCTTATCGATAATTAATTACAAGGTTGGCATTAAGATGAACATATAAACGTTATCTGACTAATTTCTAGCAGCTAAATGTGTCTGGAAAAATATTCAAAGCCTTTTATTCTCATAAACCGCACAGACGTGAATGCGTCTGACTGTTCTGATTGGCTAAAGCAGAAGTCTCACGTCAGCACGTTCTGGACGTGCACGCGCTCTTTCCGGCAATCTTCCTTTTGCGTTCACACAGCGCAGGATTCCGGCAAATTACAGGTAATATTACAACTTCTCTTTCCGGAAAATAGCCAGAACGAATTTACCGGCATTTTCAAAAAGGGCCTGTTCACACATACACAACTTTCCGGAAAATTGCCAGTAATTTTCCGGAAAAGTGTGTATGTTTGAAAGGGGCTAATATGAAACATACCCTCTCTTCTGCTGAATATCAGATTTAATAATCAATAATGGCCATTATAAAAGCATAACTAAATAAAGGAAATAAAGGCAACCAATCGGTCAAATGTACAGAATCAGTGTACGTGGTTACATTGGTAACACTTTACAATAAGCTTCAGTAGTTAATGCATTTACTAACATGAACTAATCATGAACAACACATGTACAACATTTATCAATCATAATTGAACATTTACTAATGCATTATTAACATTCAAGTCCATACTTGTTAACATTAGTTAATGCACCATGAGTTATCATGAACTAACAATGAACTACTGTATTTTCCTTAACTAACGTTAACTAACATGAACAAATACGGTAGTATATGCATTGGTTATTATTTGTTCATGTTAGTAAATGCATTAATTAACATTAACTAATGAACCTTATTGTAAAGTGTGACCGTAAAATTAATTAATATATTAACTTATCTTTGCCAAAACACGTTGCCTGAGAACAAGCAATAGACTCAAAACACCAAAGTCTGCGAATATGTCATTAGATATAGACAACAAGATGAATCAAACATCACGTTTAACAAATATAGTGATCCAGCAGTAGATTCTTGATGTGCACAACTCTCATATCATATGGGTAGATGTACTCAAAGCATGCTCCAGTGCATGCCAGTGTGAGTGTGTGGTCACGTAATGTGCGTTTCCAGCGATATAATGTGGACGGAGAGTTGTTTAGAAACGCTGGGTGAAACAGTAGTGTGGACGCGGATCGTTTTCATTTCAAATGCCATTTTAAAGCTAAAACATATTAGTGTAAACGGGCCTGAGGTCCGGCTTGACACTGCACTCTGTCCACCACCTGACCTTGTATTTTGCAAACCTTAAAGGCTATGATTTTCCAACACAATCTTACGGCAATTCGTAACTTTTTCATTTAGTGGCTAATTCGTATGAATTCGTACGATCTAATTCGTACAATTTAATACGATTTGCTTATCCCCCAATGACGGTTGGGGTTAGAGGTGGGGTCAGGTGCCACGCCTCCTTTTTAAAATCGTACCATTTCGTACGACTGAACTCGTACGAATTCGTATGAATTAGCCACTAAACTGGCAAAACGTAAAATACTTACGTTTTCTCGTGAGATCAGGCTGGATTTTCTGGTACTTTTGTGCAAGTAAATGCTTGAGACATAAAATAAAAATAAATTAATACATTTATGACAAGCGCCACACATCTCTTTCTCTGGCTTACTTGGAGGAAAGATTTTAAATCAGCAGTTGATCACATCATGCATTGAACATTGAGATCACACCAGTGTGAAAATATGTGTCAAATGGTTAATCTATGAAGAATAAAAAGACAGTTCATGACTCCTTAAATTGCATCTTGCTTCATGCTGCATCATTGCTGCATTGTTGTTAATATATAGCAGTAAATAGATAAAAATGTGATAAAGGTAAAACATATTTAAAAAATAATGTGTTACAGGTACTGCTGTTTTTTTGTGTTTGCGGCGTTGTTAAGCAAAGGTGAGTATACATGAACCAATTTTATTTTTAATTTTCATTGAGTGTGTCAACATACATGTAGTCCTGGAGAGTTTTGCTCCAACACAAATCAAAGAGTCTTCAAGATCACTGGAAAGCTATAGGAAAGTGTTTGAATAGAGTTGAAGCTAAACTCTGCAGGACACTGGCCCACCAGTACCAAAGTGGCCTATAGGAGCCATATTACTTTTCATTTAATTATAATGTTTATTTGTATAGTGATTAGTTTGGGTTTCACAGTGACGTTTTATGTTTTGGTCACGTGGGCATAACTGGCACCTGCTAGAACATATAAAGCGTGCACAATCACACAGGTGTTAGAAGGAGAGGGGGGTTACCGTATTTTTTGTTGACCGCAAACAGCCACGCAAAACAGCCACGCAAAACAAGCAACGCAAACCGGCATCGCAACGGCACACGCAACAACCATCACACCAACGCAATAATCGGCACCATACAAAACAGGTATTCAACGACACAAATTGCTGTATTGTTTGTCATGCTTCAAGATTACATAAAGTTTTCCTTATAACATCTTGGGCTCAGTGTGTCTGTCTAAAGCCACCAGCGCATCACAAATTCAAAGGACCCTCACTGCCTCTCGAGCAACTTATATGAGGCAGGGCTCGAAATAGCGACCATTTTGGTCGCATATGCGCCTGAAATTTGAGCTTTGCGACCTCATAATATATATTGGGAGCATTCGTGCGACTGAATATTTAGGTTGGAGTGCGACCTGTTTTTTTTATTTATTTTTTATTTTTTAACATGGTAAAATCGCTCTTCCCTGCCGCTATATTGGTTCATATTAGCTGTCAATCACTCAAGACTTTCCGCTGTCAGATGATAGGGAGGGAGCTTCTGTGACCGCGGGGAATGCAAACTGCTGAAGAGTGAAAAGTACACTGAATCTCGATGCGTTGCATGCACTGCGTGTGCTGCCAACACAATCTCACGGCAATTCGTAACTTTTTCATACGTTTCCTCGTGAGATCAGGCTGCAACAGCGCAAATGTCCGCTAAAACACCATCGCCAATGAAGCTTGCCTTTACTGCGTTTAAACTGATGCGGGTTATAACAAAGAACAGTATAGCGCCGGTGGTCATTGGGAGAATCCTGCTCTGCCCCCCTCATATATTGGGTCGGCTGACTAGCATGCTTTTCCACAAACACAGAAAATTGTAATTCAGCGCGTAACGAAGCTGAGCATTAAAACGACACGAACCGAAACCAAAACTTTTAAAAGTGAGACTTTTCTTACTTTCTTTTGTCCGTTCTTTCTTGAGGTGTATATTATTTTTCTATTTAATTACTGATGACTGCTTTGCAGCTTTCAGCATTGAATTTAATGGATTTATTATATTACATCGTTTGTTTTGTAGCAGAAATAGGCTACTATTTATTAAATTGACATGCATATAAACATAATAGTACAAAACAAATATTTCTTACTACAATGCTTCATTTGTGTTTGATGCAAACTATAAATTTATTTTTCATAAAGTAACAGTAGGACTTTATATAGCAGATAACTTACATTAAAGCACATTCAAGGCAGCATGATAATGAAAAATATATTTCATAATTAGTATTATTGTCATCATCGTCATCATTAATATTTTATAATTATTCAACATTCATTTTAGAATTATTGCACAAATATTAAATCATCACAGCATTAGTTAGATGGTTGTTTCTGTATTTTGTTAGTCCCAATTGATGTTGTTGTCAAATACAATAAATCCTTTAATATACAACTTGTCAATATTATAAATTTTTGGTGGGTGCTCCTAAATTTTTTCTGGTGCTCCTAAATATTTCATGTTGGGAGCACCGGTGCTACCAAGTAAGAAAGTTAATTTCGAGCCCTGTGAGGCATCAGGAAGTCGCAATATGGCCAATAAAGAGCTCCTATTATGCATTATAAAAGGGTCATGTTTTGGTTTTCTGGGTCTCCAACAGCAGGTAGATTTGCATGCAAGGCCAAAAACACTTTTTAGTGTCTTGTAAACTCCTAGGCCCTGAGTGTCCGCATATGTGTACAGCACATTTTTAGCTATTTAAATTACTTTAGATGTTTCAAGTATGTTTGAATTTTGTTACAGAAATACAGTGTCATCCTAAAATGTTATATGTTTTATCATGTTTTGCAGCATATGAAATGTCTCAAACCCTATTTTTAACTATCCAAAATGGGGAAAAAATGTTGTTTTTACTCTCTGATAGTCTAAACATGTTTAAATAAATTCGGGAACAGGTGTTTTATGTAAGTTCGGACCACGAGTCTACATACATGGACATCATTTTTCTCTAAAATTACATCATATCAAAAGAAACACATATTTATCGTAATAAAACATATTTCGGAAGCTAGAGAAAGCAAGGAGCCAACTGTTTTCATACTTACAGGTTATGCTCTAAAGGGAGAAGAAACTGGTCCATTTATGAACTGTTTACTGACAAGGTCTGACAAAATCCCATACACTATTTTAATAGTCCTTGCTTATCTTTCCTTTAATAACAGATGGCTGGCAAATCCTGTGCTGAAGGGTAGGTTATATCAATCATCAGAACAGTGACAGGCACGAACACAGCACAACTTTGGCTTGGCTATACAGTGATATTGTTGTGAAAATGAACTTTAATTATACTCCACAACCCCGAATCTCTGGCCATCTCACAGTGATCGCTCTTCAGTCGTGATGCAATCCCATGCCCTGTGTTTGAAGGCAAGGGCAAGTTCAAGGATGGAACCGGCACCTTATATTTGGAAATGTTTATTGTTGACCTTTTCGACTGCATAGGAGGTCATTTTCAAAAACCCATAATAGGGGCTCTTGAATAAATGAGCACTTATGTAATTTTTTATTTAAAATGGGTTGGAGCTACTGTTTATTAAAATATATATCTCTCATTTTCAGTGTCTCTGCAGGCCACGGTTGAGGGTAATCTTGGGGATTCTGCAGTCTTGCCTTGTTGTTCTAATAAAAATGATTTCCAACAAGAAGATATCACAGTTTACTGGAGACATAACAGCAGCAGGAAAGTTTATGGCATCATCAAGGGGAAACCTTCAGTCGAGGAGCAAGGCCTGGATTACAAAAACAGAACCCAAACCTTCCCTAATGAGTATCTGAAAGGAAACTTCTCACTCAGACTTAAAGGTCTTCAATACAATGATGCAGGAACATACGTCTGCTACATCACTATGACAAATGAAAATCCAAGCACACAGCTTTTGGTCAAAAGTATGTTAAAAATAATTTATATTTTTAAGTAGGCATTTTATATAAACTAAGCGTTAAATATTTATTTTTTTGTGATGCAGAAAATGAAGAGAGAAAAAACCATGGATCAGAAACAAGAGCAGAGAAGACTGTGCCTTTTTTAATTCTGTTTGTATTCTGCTACTGTATGTAATTAAACAGAGGAGTAATGAAGTGTGTTACCTGGAGGGCCAGTGTGCTGCAGAGTTTAGCTCCAACCCCAATTGGACACACCTAAACAAGCTAATCAAACTCTTTCTAGTATTACAAGCGTCCAGGTATGTGTATCTAGGCAAATTTGACCTAAACTCTGCAGTAGATTGGCCCCCCAGCACCACGTTTGGGCACCCCAGCACTATAACTAAAAGACAGAAAACAAATGCACTGCATAAAGCTACTTTTAAATGGCAATCTACCTCTTTCCTAGCAAAAAAAAAAAACCTCTTTATGTTATTACATATGTTTCTGAGCAGCTGAAGAATTTCTGCATGGCTGAATTATTACTGAATGGCTGAAGCAAAACAAAATGAAGACACTGGTTCAGCTTCTTCAAAATCCTGACCTGAATCCAATTAAGTTGCTATGGCATGACCATGAGAGACTGTTCAAGTTTGAAAACCCTCCAAAGCGGCTGAATTACAATTCTGCAGAGATAAGCGAGCCAAACATCCCCCACAGTGCTGTAACAGACTCATTGCACGCTATCAAAAATGCTTGGTTGCACAAACAATTTTTCACTCAGGGCTATGTACTTTTAAAATTTGTTTGATGCATTTACCTGTGCTGTCTTTAACTAATATTTTTAAACTTGTTTGATGATCTGAAACATTAAAGTGTGACAAGCATGGGGAAAAAAGAAATCAGTAAGGGGACAATCACTTTTTAATTTTTTCATTACATTTTTAAAAAGTCCTGGAAAAGATCTAAAATATTTATTTATAATTAAGTATTATTTATTTATAAACTAATTTTAAGAAGATCACGTGCTTATAATCAACACGGCTGGCACTTCATTAGTTCTGTAATCTACTCTATGGAAGCATTATAAATAACGTTCGAGGTTACAGAAGTAACCCTTCGTTCCCCGAGGAGGGGAACGGAAGTGCCATAGAGTGGATTGATTGAATCCACGAAATGGGAGGATTCGGTTCAGAAGCCGCTTGTCTGAAAGAGTATTGAACGGGCCAATGAATGCAATGAATTGGCAGCGTAAGCTTGCACAGGTGTACTTCATTGCCAATTATCCCAGCATATAAGCACACCTGGAGCGAGCAGACGCCATCCTTTTAAGCTGAAGAGACTTTCAAACAGCTAAGGGACAGTCATTATGGCGACGGAGTATGGCACTTCCGTTCCCCTCCTCGGGGAACGAAGGGTTACTTCTGTAACCTCGAACGTTCCCCTTCGGTTGGGGAACTTCAGTGCCATAGAGTGGATTGATTGAATCCACGAAATGGGAGAAGTATGGATAGCGCCATAATGACTGCACCTTACCAACGCCCCCGATGAGGGGATTGTCAAGCAAGCGTGACGCACCCACATCATGGGAGGCTCGGTCCTCCAACGTGTCCCTGGCCCTAATTTATCCTACTTCAACAGAAGTTTTACGGATTTAGATATATTTTTGGGAAGTTGTGAGCATCTAGATAATTCTAGGAAAATACGACAGTACGTTGGGAAGCGTGCAATCCCGATAGGGAGGACGCTGCGGAGGCCATCCGTTACCCAAGGGGGGATAGATGGCAGAATTTACATATGGACTAGCCCTAAAATGGGGGAGTACGCATAGCAAAGGAGTGGTTAGCGGGGAGGGAAGACACGGGTCCGCCCAGGGGGGGGGACTTAACCGTGGCGGAATAAGCATATGGGATCGCCTAGTGGGGATCACGCATAGCAGGCACCAAAACGCGGGCTGACCAGCGGGCAGACCTACAACGTAGTGGGCCAGCAAGTGACTCCTCCGCTGAGTCAGTGCTGGGGGCCACGGAGGAATCTGCAGGGCTCACCTGATGGGGAACTTTACTGACAGATAAAAAGGCGCACGTATCTCCGTGTTAGGGAAAATGGCGCAGCAAGCGTGTTTCAACACCCTACCGAATTGTTTCCTCAATCACCAAATGTTACCTAATACCCTTGAGGAAACCGGCTCCACTCGCAGATTGTAAAACCTTGCAAATGTGTTGGGTGTCACCCAGCCCGCAGCTCTACAGATGTCTGTTAGAGGGGCGCCGCGTGCGCGTGCTCGAGAGGATGCGAAGCTCCGAGTGGAGTGCGCATGCGCTCTCGGGGGACGCGGCTCATTTTGGCTCTGATAGTAAAAGAAAGGCATCCACAATCTAGTGGGAACTTATTTCGGTACGGCACTTCCCTGCTGCCGACCGCTATAACAGACGAAGAGCTGCTCAGATGATCTGAACTCTGAGTGCGGGCCGGATAATACGCAAAACGCGAACTGGACAATAAAGAAGGGCTGGGTCTGCCTCCTCCGAGGGCAGCGCTTGCAGGCTCACTACCTCGTATTAAAACGGAGTGGTAGGAACCTTGGGCACATATCGCGGGCGGGGTCTCAGGACGTGAGAGAAAGCCAGCCCAATTACAGGCACGAATCACTGACCGAAAAATGCCTCCGGGTCCCCGACCCTCTAATCGATATCAACGCGACCAGCAGAGCTGTCTTCAGGGACAGAAAGATACTGAGTCGAGGATCGAAGGGATCTGACGCGGCTTGTGTAGCGAGGGCGAGATCCTAAGAGGGCATGAGAGGGGGCGGGGTGGATTAATTCGCTTAACGCCCCTGAGGAACCGGATGATGAGGCTATGCGTTCCCACGGTGCTGCCAGCCACCGCGTCATGAGAGCGGAGATGGCAGCCACGTAACCTTGAGTGTGGAGGGCGACAGCCTGCTCTCCAACTTCTCTCGGTGTAAAGAAAGCACAACGCTGATCTGGCAAATTACGGGGGTCTTCTCAGCGAGAGACACACCATTCAGTGAATAGACTCCACGTCAGGGCATAGGCGCGCTCGGGGAGGGGGCTCTAGCCCGAGTGACGGTATTAGCCACCGCAAACGGAGGTTACCTAAGTCTTCCTCGCGTCTAAAAATCTCCAAAGAACGGCGAGGGTGCCAGGTGGTGCCCTGTCCCTGAGAGAGTAGGTGCTCTCTCGAAGGGACTGCCAGGGGAGGACTATCGCGAGGGAGAGCTCTGACATCCAGGTCCGGTTGAGCCAGAGGGGCGCAACCAGCAACCTGTTCCTCGTCCTCCCTGACCTTGCACAGTAACTGCGCAAGCAGGCTTACTGGGGGAAACGCGTATTTGCGCGTGCCCCGAGGCCAGCTGTAAGCCAGTGCATCCGTGCCGAGAGCACTCGGTCAGGGAAAGAACAACTGGCAATGAGCGATCTCGGGGGAAGCAACAGATCGATCTGGGCTTCCCCGAATCGCGCCCATATCAGCTGAACAGACTCGGGGTGGAGTCTCCATTCTCCAGGACGCAAGGCTGCCGTGAGAGCGCATCGGCTGCACGGTTGAGCTTGCCTGAATATGAATGGCGTGCAGCGATTTCAGCCGCGGATGACTCCAGAGGAGCAGACGGCGGGCGAGCTGAGACATGCGGCGAGAGCACATACCCCCTATACGGCTGATATACGCCACCGCCGCCGTACTGTCCGTCCTGACCAGCACGTGTTGCCGCTCCAGCACCGGAAAAAAACGGTGGAGAGCGAGGAACACTGCCAACAGCTCCAAGCGATATGCCAATGCAACTGGGTACCTTTCCACAGGTCCGCAGCCGCATGCCCGCAACGCACAGCCCCCCAGCCCGTGTTGGAAGCGTCTGCTGAAACGACAACAAGACTGGACGCCTGTTCTAGAGACATCCAGGTCTGTAGGAACGAGGGGTCGCTCCAAGGGCTGAGGGCGCGGCGACACAGCGCAGTAACAGAGACTCGGTGTGCGCGCGCGTGCCATGCGCGTCTGGGGACTCGATCGTGAAGCCAGTGCTGAAGTGGTCTCATATAGAATAATCCGAGCGGCATGAAGCGGCTGCGGATGCCATATGCCCCAGGAGCCTCTGAAATAGTTTCAGTGGGACCACTATTTTACTGTCGAGCTCTCTCAGACAGTACAGCATCAGCTGAGCGCGCTCTCCGGAGAGGCGCGCTGCCATGGTGACCGAGTCCAGCTCCAGCCCGAGAGAAGAGATCCTCTGCACGGGGGCGAGTTTGCTCTTTTCTCGGTTGACCTGAAACCCCCACAGGTGGAAGTGCCAGAGCACTTTGTCTCTGTGCATAATCAATTGCTCCGAGAGAGGGCAAAAATCAGCCAGTCGTAAAGAAATCGAGTATGCAGATGCCCGCGAGCCGAAGGGGCGCTGAGGCACCCTCCGCGGGCTTGGTGAGGACCCGCGGAGACAGAGAGAGCCCGAAGGGGAGGGCTTTGTATTGCCAAGCTCGACCTTTAAACGCAAACCGCAGAAACTGACGGTGGCGAGGAAGAGTGGAGACATGGAAATACGCGTCCATCAGGTCTAATGCTGCAGACCAACCCAGAGGACGAACGCACCGATGGATGCGCTTCTGCGTGAGCATTCTGAACGGCAGCTTGTGCAGGCAGCGGTTCAAAACGCGCAGATCTAGGATTGGCCGTGACCCACCGCTCTTTTTGGGCACGATGAAGTGTGGGCTGTAAAACCCGCTCTCCATCTCGGCTGGAGGGAGCGGCTCGATTGCATCCTTCGCCAGGAGGACAGCAATCTCCTCTCGCAAGACAAGGGCGGACAGGGGGCTGACCCTGGTGAATACACACCCGCAACTTGGGGGGCCGTTTCGCAAACTGAATCGCATAGCCGAGTCTGATTGTGCGTATGAGCCACCGCGAAGAGCTGGCCCGCGCTAACCAGGCAGGCAGAGCTCCCGCTAATGGACTCATCGCTACAATCGCTGACGTACCAGCAGTGGGGCAGCGCGGAGTGGGTGTGCTGATCCGGGAAGCTCGCGGGTCCCACGGAAAAGCTGGAGGTGAGATATTTGCTCTCTCTCCGAACCCGAGCTCCGGAGGGGAGGCTCGAGGGGTGGGAGAAAGGAGACCGTCCTCCCAGCGCTCGTGAGCCACTGGCGAAACGCACCGAATCTGCAAGCTAGAAAGCATAGCGTCCCAGACTGGCAGATTTCGGGCTGTCACATCTGGGGAAGTGAAAAGTGCCCTTTCATAATGTTTTCATGGCAGTAAAAAGTGCCGTTGGAAATGGGGCCCCGCCCTCCAGCGGGGAAAGAGCAAGTTCCCTCTTCTCCAGATGGCCTGTCCCAGGGACGCTTCGCGGTCCGTTGCCAGACTTAGCGGCGTTCTGGGCAGGGGGGCTGCCTGCTTCCGAGGTGCCCGACGCGCTCGCTTCGCCAGAGGCGTGTGCGGGGGCGGAGCAGCTCTCGTAGGCGGGCGCCTTCGGCGAGGAGCAGGTATGAATGGCACGGCGGGCGGAGCGGGCTACGGACCGCCGATAAGACATCACCCACCAACTGCTCTCTCACCGCCTTGAATTCCTGGGTGAATTCACAGACGGTGTTGCCGAACATGGCTTGGGATATGGGGAAAGTCAAGAAAGCGGACTTTGTCGACTTTGCGCATATCAGCCAGGGGTGGCGCTCCTGGATAACTAATGTGGACATCGTCCTCCCCAACGCACACGCAGCGGACTCAGTAGTCCGAAGAGCTAAGTCGGCGGCGGTGCGAAGCTCGTAAGCCTGGGTTGGACCCACCCTCGTGCAGCTCGGCCAGCGCCTGCGCTAGGTAGCGCTGGTAGGTGGCTATCGCATGCAAGGCGGAAGCAGCCT